TGCTGACCTTAATACTCTTAACACAAGTAATGAGAAATGCTAGATGGTAAACATAGCAATTTTTATATATGAATTGTATTCACCCTATTTCGTTCAAGGCGATAAGAGTTGGCAGTTGAATTTTTCCCACCATGATAGTGGACCATACATTCCCCTTGAATTCCACATAGCCTTGCTTTCCATAAAGTTATTCTCATCCATTTTGATCTCGCATAGTTTATATATAAACGATCTTCTGGTAATCTCAAAAAAACCTACTTATAGATGAAACATAAGTAACGTATTTGATTAATGTAGCAAATACAACTTTGCTTCATCGACAATCCCACTAGAGAGTGCGACATTGGAGAATTCCTGACCCTCCTTGAACCTCACGTCTGCTCTGTGACCCAAGAGCACTTGTGGTAATGCGGCGTATTGGTTAACGTGTCGTGATTGTGCGCTGTACTGATATTATTCGAGTCCCGCTGGGGGTTGAAATTGCAATTCACCCTGGATGAGAATATATTTTGGGAAGGTAAGGTTATGCGAAATTCAATAAAAAAGGTATGGTCTACTCATATAATTATGCGAAAAATTCAACTACCAGTCTTCTTATCTACTGGTAGCCCCGAAAAAAACTACTTTTAAACGAAGTAATAATTTTTTATTCAATCCAAGTCTCCTTTCAGTTGTCAATTTAAATTGCATTTCACGATCTAAATTTTTTTCTTTACATAAGAACTTAGTTACCCTAGGTCGCTTAAGGTGATATAAGGCATTCTAGTTGAGTTTTTCCACTATGAGACGAGTAGGCCTCACGATAGTATTGAATTTCATTTAGCATTGTCTCCTAAACTTCTATCATACACTATAAATATAATTTGGATGAGCCCTGGCTTGCATTGATTTGCATCACTGATACCCGTTACTAGTGGAGTGGTAACGTTGTCAAGTTACTCAAGACTATCAAATCGCTTTGAGGTTGCTGATGAAACCTAGGCCTGGTCTAAACTGCAATCCTTCCCGGATGAGGCAGCCTTTTTGGAGGTAAGGCTAAGTAAAATTCATTGGTATCGTGAGGAATATTAATCTCATTGTGGGAAAACTAAACTTTTAAATTCGTGAGTGAGTAGGGTTTCGAGACTACCAGTAAATCAGTGTAATGGGATGTATTCACCCTATTTCGTCTAAGGTGATGATGGACTGGTAGTAGA